TGGGTGTGAATTAAGTAATGCCATGTCGCTCGAAACCCTGTTCTTATGGACGTCTTGCGTAATGACGAGGCAATTCGGAGCGTGCACGTTGTTACACCTCGCAATCCGAAGGGCTTTATGTTCAGTCCGTTCGGCTCGGTTAGTTGCCGGCCAGTTATCGTAGACAGGTTTGCAAACTCGAGCATCATCGTCAATCAAATCAATGAGATGCCGTTGGAGAGATGCCCTGTGGATCTAGACTGGGACTATCCGTACATGGATCGCTGACAGGGGAGAGAAATGCACTTCCGCAACTTGAAGTCCGGTGATTGAAGAACAATTCAGCGTAGCTTGGCAAGCTCAGCAAGCTCGGCCGTGGGGTTTCAAGGCATGGATTAGACGTAAGAAAAGAGTCGGGATGTGGACAGGCAGAGACTAACAATGTGATTCTGCAGGTCACTGAGAACAGGTTGTGTTTCTCGCACATCTAAAGCCGGGTGAGGTAGCCAACCACTTACCATGATGTTATCTGAGGATACGACCTTGCGAGTTTTGCATTTCCGCCCAAACAGTCTCAGACATTTACGGTGTCTCTTTTCGTTGAGGTGCGATTCTTAGCGAGGAGCAATATCTGGCAATAAATAGTGAAAGTCGGGTGATTTTGGCGGACGCCTCTGGGGGGCCATCTTCGAGATGGAGTGTTGGAGTAACCCTGTTGGAGATGCAAGTCAACTCTATCGAGGCGTCGATACCCGTTTCTTGCCGTGCCATGGGGTGATTGAGATGATGAGGTCTTCAAGAAAAGACAAAGATGGGGGTTAATGGCTCAGCATCATGTTTGTCTTGGTACTTTCTACATGTCTAATGACGTGCTCCTTGAGAGGTTTATGGGGAGGCTGCTGTGGCTCAAGATGGCACCTTGCATGTAGGATGGGCAGCTCAGAACCCCCAAATGCTCCAAACAGTCTCCCATGATATCACAGCCTAACCGTCAGTGCCAGTTCCGCCAAGCTATCTAGGGAGTAGATTATAGGCAGATCACATTTGGGACACCATGAAGCATAAGGGGCCCCGCGCACTCCCTACTCTTCGTCATATGCAAGAATCTCGAGATTTTGGGGTTCAAGTTGCTAGGGCTGAATCTTTGGGGGTTGGGGTTCCATGCTGAAAATTTCCCATGTCTCATCAACTCCAAATTTGGAGACAGGATCCAGACAATCGAGTCTTGTTGAAACCCCAACCTAATTCACATGTTTATTTTGCAATTGGATATCTGCTATGATAAGATATGGACCCGTAGAGGTACAAGTAATGGAAGTTAAAGGATCCATGTGTTAGCGGTCTGTTTATCGGCTGGTACAATACTGACGACTCCGAAAATTGGTGCCTCCTCGGAACATACTTCCTCGGGACCTGCGCCGGACTTGTAAGAATCCAATGAATGAGTGTTGCCCTTGATCGACCACGCCTAGAATTTCAAGAGACTCCACTAATTACCTAGACATCTCAAGTTGAGGCTCTTGTTCCAAGACCCATCCTAACCGCCCTAGCCGTAGTTACTTCTAATGTGTGGTGTATCTGTTGTTGAGCGCCTTCACGTTGCATTACATATCCTGTGAGAAACGGGCCGTCATGAACGGGTTGACTATCTGTTGTTGAGAGAGAGTCAAGACAGTTCACATGTAAAATGCGACATCAGTCTGCCACGACATGAACTCACAGTCTAGCCATGGCTTAGATGAGTGAATACCCTTGCTTGATCCAATATCCACGCCATCCATGACGGATATCTTGCTCGGATTCCTGGAAAAGTGACGTGTTTACACAGCCCGCGGTCGGTCTGAAGTTTTTCACGCCATAACCGAGGATATCAAACACGAACAGACCAGAGTAAGAGTTGCGGCTTTAATGAGACAATAGTTAAGTTAGCCAAGCTAAGCGCAAAGAATGTTGGTAACTTTGGTATCCTTGCATCATGTCAGGACTTCAATGTCCTAGTTCGGGACAACCCTTGCTTGGTTCCTGATGACGGCCGGGGGTGGGACGGAAATAGGGTCTAGACTAGCCGGGTATTAAACAGCTCTGCTCTGTATGCAGTTGTAAGCTTCGAGAATTGGATGTTTCTAGCTATGATGGAACAGGCTTTTTCTTCTTTCGACGCGCGCTTTAAAGATAGGCTGGCGATTAGGTTGATATCTCGGAGCGTAGAACCTTGGAGGAGCATCAATGATTAAAGAGACATTAGGCAAAGGTTTTGTTGCGATAGTTAGAGTCCATTGAATAGACTCTCTGTAGCCGTAGCCCTGTGGAGTCTCAATCGGCAGTGTTGACGCCTGTATCCACTACGAGCCGCGCTGATGGATCAGCTCCAGTTGCTGTTGAGCATCGATATCTTTTGTTGGCGAGGCTTGTATTGCGTTGCACAACTGACCAACAAGAAGACCGAGAGCATTGCCGTATTTGTACAGCATCTTATTACCTGCCGAGTGGGATGATCCGGGTTCTGGTGAGCAACAAAAGCAAATTAGATGCTGTAGCTAGTACATGCAAGATGCAGCATCAGAATAAGAAGCACATTTGAAGCCTCGCTTTCAAGGGACGACTTCTTTGCATCTGATATTAACCCCGGCCCGGAACCGGAGTTGAGTTCTGGTATAAGAATGCTCCGCGGGCGCTGTATAATGGAAAGCCGGTCCTGGATTGCGGCGGCGCAAGCGGCGGCAGTACAAGCGGTTATTTGCAGACAGACAGATTGGATACCTGCAGTTCGTGTCTATTATTTACAGGTCGCATAGACTCCATTATCATAAATACTCATTAAATTGATGTCTCCTCTATCATGTCACTTTCAGACGCCCAAAGGTTGACAAGCAGTGATTGACGGACAGCTAAACTCTAGCCTATCAGATAGCTCCCGTTTATTATCGTCGGTTGCGTCATAAGCTGAACCATTCATTCCACGTCCGTCCGCCCAACAACAAGCTCTCACACGAGAGCTTAGGCCTTGGCTTTGATGAGAGGGGATTGAGCTCGTGAGCTCGGACTGTTTCACGGCTGCCGTAGCTGCAGCCACTCACTTGCACATGAATTGCTTTTGGACGTGGCCAGCCCCTCATTTTCAAGCGTAAGCAAGTCCAAAGCTTAAGCTTAGTAGTGCATACTTACACTGCAGCTGGAGTTGGAGCTATATTGAAGTGGATAAGGATTGCAGAACAAGTCAATAAACATGGGAAACGCTGATTCTCACCATGGCTTTGAGAGAATTGTTGGAATTGAAGAATTGAAGGCGGCCTAGCCAGTCAAGGATGGGAACCGTTTCCAATACTGTGCTGTCTAGGCTGTCCTAGCTGTGCCATGCTATAAGAGCTCTTTGGTGGTTGCAGTTACAGAAGAATGAGGGGTTGCCAATCCCAAGGCACCAACAGCGTCACGTTGATTACAACTCGAATTGGCTAACCTTTGTTAAGGTCACTCACTAAACTCTCGGGACCTTGATCAACATGCTATTAATCCGCTTCTATCAAAACAGGTCCTGAAGCATCAACCCCGCATTTCAACAGCAACGACAAACAGTCATCTACTGTGTTAGTTGTACTGTTGCAGCCGATAACCCGTAGCTGATGAATGCGTCGACAACAAAGCAACCACTCACCCACTCACTGTGCAACAGGCTTACATAGGTAGTTCCAACTTTGGGCCAAGCTTGGCGCCGGACTGAACCTTGGTATGGTGACGTTCCTCGGTGAGTGGCTCGGCGTCTGCCCTTCTCTTCCATCTCTGGCCACTGGTGGAGGGTCGCCAGTGGTTCTCATCCATGCGCCAGTAGATGCTGAAGCTGGATCAACATCACGGCAGGTCTCGTGCTGCCTTTGATGTAGCAGTAGAGCTTCCTCTCTCTCTCGCCTTTCTCTCGGTTGTCGGCCCTCTTCGGAGACACGCAATGATACCTATTCATTCCCCCTCTTTCCTTTCCTTTCCTTTATCTGAAAGAGGTATCAATAGCCCATCCTCTCTTGTTCTTTAATTCTGCCTCCCCTCCCACATCTTGCTCCCTCCTTCATCCATCATCTGAACGTGACGCAGATCGCAAAGCCTCTTTTGTCCTTGCCTGCTACTACTGTATTGAACCATTGTTGAGAGACCTGCATAACAACAATCTCCGTCTTGTTTCCAAATATCAATAGTTCCGAATTCTTCCTCTTTGCTCAACCGTCAACAAAGTTGGGTCGCCGTCTCAGTCAGCTTTGTTTCGCCATTCAATCTCCGTTGTAAGCAGTCCCCGCTCTGGGCTCGTCTCCATCTCCAGTCTGTGACGTCGTCTAATTGTTCGCGGCAATTAGACGCGGGATCAAACGGAAAGACTCGAATCCTCGGATATCGATTTCTTTCTCCTTGTTGTTCTGGTAAGCTCTCCTCTGTTGGTGCCCATGTCATTGCTCTGCCGTGCCCTGTATCCAGACCCAGTCCCAGCCCAGCCCAGCCCAGCCAAAGCCAAACACATCCACGGGCCATGGCGGGGGCAGATCCACTGTGCCGCGGGAGGGGCCCAGCGGGAATCTACCCCCGGCTACAGTTCGTACTCCTCCTCCTCCACTGCACACACCCTCCATGTCACCCATAGACACCCCAAGACAAGCCTCGATATCCCCCACACCAGGAGGACATTCAGGGCCGGGCATCCACCTCCATCCAAGTTCAAGCCCAAGTCCAAGTCCAGCGGCCATGCCACCGGCTTCGGGTCAAACGCCGGAAGTCTTCGGTTCCTGGACCATCATGTATCATGGCTGTGGTTTGAGTGTACGGCCATAGTCGGTTGTAGTTGGTGGTGACATCCATCCATAGCAGCCATGATATTATAAAGTCCCAGCCATGCCCGCATCTTGGGTCTGAATTGTACTTACACCAGACCAGTCCAAAGCAGCCCATCCTACCTATCCTCCTAGACGACGACTCACTCGAATCGAACTCGTCTTGACTTGGATCGATCTCTCCTCGAACCGAATCCACCTTACCCATTCATCATGAGCCAGTCACTTAAGCAAGCAGCTGAATCAGCTCGCTCAAAGACCAGCGATGTGTTGGGAGCTGCTCGAGGTGACTCGGCCGCTATTGCCAATGACATCCTTCACACTCCTCTCATGAGGGCCGCCCTTCCCTTCATCAACGGCGGTATCAGCGGTATGGTGGCCACGACCGTCATCCAGCCTGTCGACATGGTCAAGGTCCGCATTCAACTCGCTGGCGAGGGAACTGCTTCTGGCCCTAAGCCTTCTCCTCTCTCCGTCACTCGACAGATTATCGCCAGTGGAAAAGTCCTTGACCTATACACTGGTCTCTCAGCTGGTCTTTTGCGCCAGGCCGTCTATACCACCGCCCGCTTGGGCATGTTCGACACGCTTATGAAAAACTTGTCCGCCAGAGCCAAAGCTGATGGCCGCTCAGTCGGTTTCTCGGAACGAGCAACTGCTGGTCTCACTGCCGGCGGTATCGCTGCTATGATCGGTAACCCTGCTGATCTCGCCCTCATCCGAATGCAGAGTGACGGCCTTAAGCCCCTCGCTGAGCGAAAAAACTACAAGTCTGTCATTGATGCTCTTACCAGCATCGCCAAGAGCGAAGGTGTCGGTGCTCTCTGGGCCGGTGCTGCTCCCACAGTCGCACGAGCTATGGCTCTCAACTTTGGCCAGCTCGCTTTCTTCAGTGAAGCCAAGGTCCAGCTCAAGAACAACACCGATCTCTCCGCCCGCACCCAGACTCTCACTGCCAGTGCCATTGCTGGTTTCTTCGCTTCCTTCTTCTCATTGCCCTTCGACTTTGTCAAGACACGTCTCCAGAAGCAATCAAAGGGACCTGACGGCAAGCTGCCCTACCGCAGCATGATGGACTGCTTCTCCAAGGTTGCTAAGCAAGAGGGCCTCGGCCGCTTCTACCGTGGTTTCGGTACATACTACGTCCGCATCGCTCCTCACGCGTAAGTCCCTCTGATACCTGAAATAGTCGAATAATTCGCTGACTTGACTTGTAGTATGGTGACATTGATCGTTGCTGATTACCTTGGCTGGATCACCAAATAAATAAACAAACGATCTGACAAATGAGAAATGAGAACGGTTGTGCGGATAGAATTCGACACCATCCAAGGCGTTATTTGGCGTGGGGCATTGTGAATGGGATTGGATTATTTTATGGATAGGAGCTGAAGGATACCATGGCTGTTACCTTTTAGGTCTTTCTTTTTGTTATCAGAGCAGCATCGACAAGATATTTGAGTAAATAAATAACAAATGTTTAAAAACTCAATTGTTGAGAGGGAGAGAGAGTGTTTGATGTTTGTTGTGCAGGCCGAAGCGTAAATTGGCTCGAGGCACTTATTGCTTCCTTTTCTCCGTGAGCTGACTAAATGTCCAATGCAGGACGTTCCAAAGGTAAATGAAGCCAGTATTGAACTAAGTTCTTATTGAATCTCTTTAAGACAGAGATTGATCTAGTGATAAAAATTCCTCATTCACTTTAGGAACGCCTCTGTAATTGTGAATGATTTGTGTGTTGTGCGAGAGAAGCTCTGAAGCTTTTCCCAAGTTAGGCCGATAACGGAGTAGGGTGTGTAAAGACCTACATAAACTGCAAATTTTGACCCCATGTCAAGCACTAAAAAGCCGTCATCGTATAGGG